GAGGAGCACCAGCCGGTGGGCAGGAGAAGGAGCACCAGCCGATGGGCAGGAGAAGGAGCACCAGCCGATGGGCCGGATGAGCACCAGCCGATGAGCCAGAGGAGCACCAGCCGATGGGCTGGAGGAGCACCAGCCGGCCGGATGAACCGACGAGGCAGGAGGAGCACCAGCCGGTGTGGGCGGAGAAGGAAGCACCAGCCGATGGGGCAGGGAGAAGGAGCACCAGCCGATGGGCCTGATTTTTATGAAGCACCAGGCCGATGTGAGCCAGAGGAGCACCAGCCGATGGGCTGGAGGAGCACCAGCCGATGGGCCGGATGAGCACCAGCCGATGAGCCGGATGAGCACCAGCCGATGAGCCGAATGAGCACCAGCCGATGGGCCGGATGAGCACCAGCCGATGGGCCGGAGGAGCACCAGCCGATGAGCCGGAGGAGCACCAGCCGATGGGCCGGAGGAGCACCAGCCGATGGGCCGGAGAAGCACCAGCCGATGGGCAGGAAGAGGAGCACCAACCGATGGGCAGGAGGAGGAGCACCAGCCAAAGGAGGAACACCAGCCGACGGGCAGGAGGAGGAGGAGCACCAGCCGATGGGCCGGAGGAGGAGCACCCGCCGACGGGCCGGAGGAGGAGCACCAGCCGATGGGCCGGAGGAGCACCAGCCGATGGGCCGGAGGAGGAGCACCAGCCGCGTTCGAGCCCGCCCGGCGGCTGCATCCTGGCCCACAAACGGGCAAGGAGCGATCCTGCATGCAAAATATTTTTAAAGCACTATGGGAAAACAATCGCGATTGAAATATGATTTTCGTTCCGGTCTGAAATCCCCTGACTTGACGAAGGGACTGGCGCGTCCAACAGACAGGCCACGTCAGGTTGGAAAAGCCGCGCCACTGACACTGACAGAGGCCCTCTTAAATGATATTAAACTCGTTAACACCACCCATCTCCTCACGACCAAATGTCACCGTTTTAAAACCAGCCGTTTAAGCGCGCCGGGAAGTAGCCTGCGGCTCAGGCAATTACAAACGCCATTAGGCCGGCTTCCTCCTGGGGGCATTCGCAAGCACTGGGACTAAAATGTGTTTCAGGAAATCGGGCTTATCTCCGCACCGCGAAAACGGACCGGCCGCTGTCAGGCCATGCACCGAGTCGTTGGTCGGCTGGCTTTTCGCAGAGCAGGCCGCCTGGAGGCTAATGAACAGCCTGTGAAGCCATCGGTGGCGGTCGCTCATGTCTGTGTGCCGATCTAGCCGTGCTCGCGCCGCTGTTTGCTGCAACACGCCAAGACGCACTACACTGACCATCAACAGTACACAAATAGGAAGAAGATCCAGGCACAGTACCCATCGACCATGTTGTAAGAATGCTGAATGGCTTAAAATTGGACCGATGACCGCCTGTGGACACCGTTCGGACACCGGAGTATATGGCTCGTGCAGCCACTTCTCGCCACCCGCCGCCTTCCAGCGAGGTAGCTCGGGGTCGCTTAGGTAGTACTGGGTCCCTGTGCCTGACAGCTTGGCCCTGGCAGCTTGGTACTGACAGCTTGGTCTTGGCAGCCTGGCCCTGGCAGCTTTGTCCTGACAGCTTGGTCTTGGCAGCTTGGTCCTGACAGCTTGGTCCTGACATCTTGGTCTTCGCAGCTTGGTCTTCACAGCTTGGCTTTCGCGGCTTGGTTCTGACAGCTTGGTCCTGACAGCTCGGTTTTGGTAGCTTGGTCCTGGCACCTTGTTCCCGGTAGCTTGGTCCTGGCAGCTTGTTCCCGGTAGCTTGGTCCTGGCAGCTTGGTCGGCAGGACGCCGTGGTCCACACCGTCCAGAGCAGTGCTGAAATCGATAGAGGTGGCCGCGGCGACATGTCCGGTGTCGATCTGACGGTCAGCCGGCCGGCAGCGTCCACCGAACGGTCGTCAGTGGAGCGGCACGACGTGTGTGCCGGCGTGAGGAGGCGTGCGTGTGGCGAGAGCACGTGAAATGGCGACAAGATCGGCAGCGGGAAAATGAGCCGATGGTTAGGAGCATATGGCTGCTCACATTAAGTTCACGTAAACATAACGCGTGCGTTTCACACGTGTTGGCGTTGGATAACACCGATAAGATGGAAATGAACCGACAGTGTCAATACCAGCACCAAACTTTGCACGTCCCCGTAGCTCAGCTGCAGTGAGAGAGGCTGTTTTCCAAGCTTCCAGTGGCGTGGCGGGAGGGTTCTAGTCGCTTCGGCACTCGCTGTTTTCCCTGGATTGGATAGCCTGCGGCCGGTGGTACCAGCTGCTCAAGGTCGTATTGGGTCAGAGGCTTGGTGGACCGTGCCGAGCACAGCGTCACGTTTCACTTTCGCCACGAAATCCTGCCATTTACCTGGCATTTCATGATAGATCGGTGGGATCAGGGTCGTACCACGAGCTCTGCTTGGTGCGGGTGCTTATCCCAAAAGTCTATCCAATCAAAACGTCGGGACTTAATTAAAAGAAGGTATACAATCATGAAAATTACCAATGGGGGGAAGAACCTGCCTCCGTGATTCTCAGCATATGTGTGGGGTGGCTCGGTCAAAACTTTCCGGCACTTTACTGCGAACGCACGGTGCTGCGCACAGACATGTGACTGCACAGTGGACTTTAACGGTCAAACCAAAAATTCACATAATTAACTCACACGGTGCGGAGAGAAACCCTGGCAAAAGGCTGTGACAAAAAAGGCATTTCATGGATCAGGAGAATATGCCATAACATTCTACAGGCACAAATCGCAAGCCTTTATTTGTTAGACCTTGGCGGCTCTTCAATGCTACGTGAGGCTGGTACATATATGCCATTTTACTGCGTTGCAACCTCTGTCCTCAGCGGTCTGTGCCCCGATGATACCACCTGAAACTATATCTGTCTTGCACGGTTTCAGAAGGAGATAGTGAACTTGAACCCAAGCATTTAAGGCGCAGAAAAGGCTCGGCCTCGGGTTCAGCCTCCAATAATTTGCAAATGTCGTAAAAATGGTTGAATTTGGACTCGGAGTTACGTAATATGACAGGGTCGAACGCGGAATTCAGGTGCAGACTCAAGGTAACAGGACTCGGACGCGGGCCCGGACGCAGGTACTTGGACGTAGACAGGAGCGCAGCCAGGGTATTGGTGAGAAATGGAGGTGCAGGGGTTGATGAAGGGAGTGAGGTGGCCCTTCATAAAAAGCCCCCCCCCAGGAAAAAACAATAAATTTATTTTATTTCACATGGAATAGACACCCATCTTTGCCGACACGTTGTTTGGCCGTCTAAATCGGCTGAAACATCAGAGCCATAAGCTACCAGAACGTGCAATTATTTAGAAAAACGAATCACGAGTTCATGGCTGCATCAAATGAACCAGCTTGCTTTTCACTATTCCATAAAGCATTCGGCCCTTTCTAAGCGGCATCAGTACAATTGATTACCACATATATTGTGTTCTACGTATATATATATATATATATATATATATATATATATATATATATATATATATATATATATATCATGACGTCCAGTGACTGAACACCATGGTAGATCGAAACGGGGCAAGACATGATTGGTATGGCCAATCGTTCTTCGTCTGGGGATGTTTGACTTCTCTTCAGCCTCGATTAGCGCAAAATTACAGAGAACAGTCTTTAGCATGCTCAAGGCCAATCTTAGGAACAAAAGAAGGAAGAATATCGGTATTGCAATCTGCACAGGCCTGCGGCGCCGGCCCCTCCCAGCTAATGACATGCGATGGCCGACGGGCGGGCGAGGGCCGCATATTGGATCGAATGGTTTGTAAAATTGATCTGTGCACGTGGAAGGGATTCCGTATGTCATACCTCACCGGTACAATTGATAAATTAATACTTGGAACGAATTAACATTTGCCTATCTACCACGATATTTCGCGTTTCGTGTTGCTGTGGCTGCTGATCCGTTCCGCAGATGAACCTCAAAAGCAGACGACTGCCTCATTCTTACCATTAAAAAACTCAAGAGTTTCTCAAGCACCATTTTCCAGACACGAGGTCGTTCGCCCGACTAAACGCGCCTAATGAAGGCAATTTTATGGAGACTTTATGGATACTTCAAGCCGAGCGTCCACTCTTCTTTTCTCCTAATATGCATCAGGGCATGCTCAAACATGCCGTTTCATTTTTGACAACTCATTTACAGAACGGAATGGGCATTCTCAGGCAGACATGCGTTGATCATGTCAATGAAAAATTTGAGCCCATTTCGATTAAACTCATTGAACACTGAGTCTGCTAACCATTCCCGGGCAGAGTCCCGTGTGTGGGGAGAAATCTAGAGACTCATTACCTTTCACGGTTAGAAACTGAAGGACCTTTCTGTCCTTGCCTGGGATGCCTACCTGGGGCATGCTGGTGACGCGGCACCAGGGTCCGCTTGTCGATTTGGTGGCCCTCAGATGAATATATCTTACATCGACCCCTGACGGGGTGCAGAGGGTCTGCTGACCTGGGAAGTCGACCCAGACTCCGGATCGACGCAGTGGCCTTCACTGACGCAAAAGGAACCTTTGCCTGCACAAGGAGGCCCGATAATTGACACAGTATTGCCTATCGGACAGCTAGTTAAAACGGGGCGAAGAATGCCCCGTTCTGTACTTGTCTGTACTGTTTTGTTCTGTACTTGAGTCCTGCTGATTCAATTCCGGGGGCCCAGTCCTTAAGGCCTCAGGCCAGTCGCCAGTCGTCCTTCGAGCCCTCCGAACCCTCCAATCGGACCCTTGATCATCGAAGCCAAGACTCCAAACGGGCTCTTTTGGTCCTTCTGGACCTGTGGGGGACGGGTGTGTACCCCTTTTCTCAGCCCTTTCGGCGCCCGTGGAATAAACCCATCCCTGGTCGCTGATATCGTGTACCAACACGGTGCGAACGCACGCATCTGTCCCAGTGACGTCATCAAGCAGCTGACATCCCACCGCAACAACGTCGCAAGAAGTGCGCCACATTCGTTGTCATTTCCCGCATGTCTTCGCGCTCTGAGAGCAGGCACATTACTTCAAGCCACGTTTGGCCTTCACAAGTCAGAAGATTGGAACATGGGAGACTTCCAAGATGTTTTAAGTGCGAATTTTCAGCAGCTGTTTGAGGATGTTTCAGGCAAGTGTACCGGTCACTCGTACTAAACACGGGATGGGGTTGGTTTCCTAACTTCGCTCTCAGTGTACCTCTGGTCTAAGTTGAGAAGTTTCCCTGCCTACCCATTTGAAACAGCATTTCGACGTGCAAAATCCGTCTAGTTAGCACAACTTCACACGGTCCCCCAGTTTGTCCGCACGACCTAGCGGACAAACGCGGCGCAAGGCTGTGATAGACGGTTCGCCGTTCACAGCCCACTGATTTCTGATATGACGTCACTGGTTAGACGGTTTGGTGGGTGCCATCTATAACACACCCGCCTGTAATGCAATACGTCTCGCAAGGCAGGGGCACAAACAGCGGACAGGGGCACAAACAGCGGACAGGGGCACGCGACGCACCTGTAGGGCTCCGTGTCAAACGATCAAAGACACGCTTGGAGGGCTCTTAGGGCCTGAAGGTTTTATCGCACGTCGTGGAAGGGACTCCGTGCAATCCAGGCTCTCCAATGTCAGTCTGAGCAGAGGCGGCGCTGCGGGGGGGTGGGATGGAGGGGCAGTTCCCCCCGGGATTCTTCAAGTACTTCACCTTTTTTAGAAGAAGAAAAATCTCCACCGCGAGCGTTTTATGCGTAGTACGAAGTGGGCACAACCAGCTCACGTTAGCAGGATTGCCCAACTTGGAAATCATACAACCCAACCATCATCTTTAGCACCAAAAATAACAAGCAGGCAATTAGCGTCATTTATTTCGTCGTTTGGACCATTGCTACTCACAGTGCTCGCATGAACACCTGTCATCTTCAAGAAATAGCCATCTGACAATATTATTATTTCAGCAACAAACCAGCAATGCGATTTTTAACGCGCAGACAGCGATTTATGGCACGTACTTAAAGGGCAACCTAAGCACCAAATCACGGACATGCGAGAAACCAAGAATGGTATCCCAGTTCTACACATTCGTGCCTCGAATTATCTGTTGGTGCGCTGAGCCTTCGTACATAACATAATTTTGATCATTTTTATCAAATATTTGATAACTTACGGCCCATCGCGCGCAGACCAGAAAGGCGCCTACATTCTTACCTTATCCATTGCACTTCTTTCTACTTCCTTTATTATTGCACTCCTAATTTATTTCCAGTTGTGAAGCTTAAATTGATATTTCCAAACGGACAGCACAGAGAAAGAGCCAACAATATCTATTGAACTGAAGCATTTCCAGCAATGTTAAAAAACCGACGAAGCCACGGGAACCCAGCACCGAAGTCAACCCAACGTTTTCGTTACGGTGCATTGACGTCTATTAGCGCAGTACATCTCATACACGAGTCCGGATAATATGATTTGCACTTATTAGAACCAAACACATCGTGACGACAATGTCGCTTAAGCTGCAACACTTGGGTTCAATTAATATGAATACTCCCGTTGCCGTGAGATGCTGCCATCATGTGCGGAGGGATTGTCGCAGCACCCTCTTAAAGTAGTGCACCTCTTGTACAATTCCAACGAGCGAGGCCTGAAATCGCTCTGACATCCAGAGACATACTCTGCCGAGATGATATGCTAACAGCAATCCTAAGGAAACGGATCAAGCCCCGGGAAAATACGACTGAAGCAAGGCCAGCGTTTTCGGTACGGTACATATACGTCTATTAGCGTAGTACCTCACACACTAGTCTGGATAATGCGATTCACATTTATTGGAACTAAGCACATCGTGCTGACAATGTCGGTGGAACTGCAAGACTTCGGTCGGATGAATAACACCCATGCATTGCCGTGAGATGTTGCCATCATGTGCTGACGAACTGCAGTAGCACCCTCTTCAAGTAGTACACCTCTTGTATAATTCCAATTGGCGAGACCTAAAAACCGCTCTGACATCCAAAGACATACTCTACCGAGATAATATGCCAATAGCAATCCTAAGGAAACGGACCAAGCCCCGAAAATTGAAGACTGAAGCAAAGTTAGCGTTTTCGGTAGGGCACATATACGTCTATTAGCGTGTATGTGCCGTACCGGAACATCCAAACCGTACCAAACTGACATCGAAAGACATGCTCTACCGAGAGAATATGCTAACAACAATGCCAAAGTAATAAGCCAAGCCCCGGAAACCGAAGACCGAAGTAAATCCCACGTTTTCAGTACGGTGCATATGCTTTAAGTGGCGCAGTGCACCTCATACACGGGTCCGGATAATGCAATTTACAATTGCTAGAAATAAATACGTCGCGCGGACAATGTCGGTTCAGTTACAACACTTCGGTCCGATGAATAAGACCCATGCATTGTCGTGAGATGTTGGCATCATGTGCGGACGGACTGCAGTAGCACCCTCTTAAAGTAGTGCACCTCTTGTATAATTGGAATTGCCGAGACCTAAAAACCGTTCTGACATCTAAATACATGCTCTAGCGAGATGATATGCCGACAGCAACCCCAAGGAAATGGGCCAAGCCCCGCAAACCGAAAAACGAAGCAAAGCCAACGTTTTTGGTACGGCACATATATGTTTATTGGCGCGGGGCACTTGAAACACCAGTCCTTATAGTTCGATTCAAACTTACTAGAAGTAAACACGTCGAAACGACAATGTCGTACTTCGGTTCAATGAACGAGACTCATGCATTGCCGTGAGATATCACCGGCATGTTGCACAGACTGACCGTAGAAGCAGCCCCTTAAAGTAGTGTACCTCTTGCATTATTCCAGCTGGCGAGACCTGAAAACGCCTCTGGCATCCAAGAACATTCTCTACCGAGATAGCACTCTCGCGTATAAGGTGCGCTGCGCTTATAAACATGTATGTACCGTACCGAAGACGTTGGCCTCGCTTCGGTCTTCGATCTCCGGGACTTGGTCCGCCCCCTTAGAATTACTCTTGGCACATTATCTCGGTAGAGTATGTCTTTGGATGTCAAAGCGGTCTTTAGGTCTCGCCAATTGGAATTATACCAGAGGTGCACTACTTTAAGAAGGTGCTACTACAGTCCATCCGCGCATGATGATGACATCCCACGACAGCGCATGAGTCTTATTCATTGAACCAAAGTATTGCAGCTCAACCGACATTGTCGGCACAATGTGTTTATTTCTACTTAGTGCGAATTGCATTATAAGGACTCTTGTCTCAGGTGTCCCGTACGAATAAACGTATATGTATCGTACTGAAAGCGTTGCCTTTGCTTCGGTCTTCGGTTTCCGGGGCTTGGCTTCTTTCCTTGGGGTTCGCGTCGGCATATTATCTCGGCAGGGTATTTCCTTGCACATCAGAGTGGTTTTTAGGTCTCGCCAATCGGAATTATACCAGAGGTGCACTACTTTAAGAGGGTGCTACTGCAGTCCGTCCGCACATGATGCCAACATCTCATGACCATGCATGGGTCTTATTCATTGAACCGAAGTGTTGTAACTGAACCGACATTGTCCTCGCGACGTATTTATTTCTTGCAAGTGTGAATTGCATTATCCGGACCCGTGTATGAGGTGCACTGCGCCAATTAAAGCATATGTACCGTACTGAAAACGTGGGATTTGCTTCGGTCTTCGGTTTCCGGGGCTTGGCTTATTACTTTGGCATTATTGTTAGCATATTCTCTCGGTAGAGCATGTCTTTCGATGTCAGTTTGGTACGGTTTGGATGTTCCGGCACGGCACATATACGCTAATAGACGTATATGTGCCATACCGAAAACACTGACTTTGCTTCAGTCTTCAATTTCCGGGGCTTGGTCCGTTCCCTTAGGATTGCTATTGGCATATTATCTCGGTAGAGTATGTCTTTAGATGTCAGAGCGGTTTTTAGGTCTCGCCAATTGGAATTATACAAGAGGTGTACTACTTGAAGAGGGTGCTACTGCAGTTCGTCAGCACATGATGGCAACATCTCACGGCAATGCATGAGTGTTATTCATCCGACCGAAGTCTTGCAGTTCCACCGACATTGTCAGCACCTGTTAAGTTCTAAAGAGTGCGAATCGCATTATCCAAACTTGTGTGTGAGGTGCACTACGCTAATAGACGTATATGTACCGTACCGAAAACGCTGCCTTTGCTTCAGTCTTAGTTTCCCGGGGCTTGGGCCGTTACCCTAGGATTGCTGTTAGCATATTATCTCGACAGAGTATGTCTCTGGATGTCAGAGCGATTTCAGGCCTCGCTCGTTGGAATTGTACAAGAGGTGCATTACTTTAAGAGGGTGCTACGACAGTCTCTCCGCACGACACGATGGCAGCATCTCACGGCAACGGAGCATTCATATTAATTGAACCCAAGTGTTGTAGCTAAAGCGACATTGTCGTCACGATGTGTTTGGCTCTAATAAGTGCGAATCACATTATCTGGACTCGTGTATGAGGTGCACTAATTGACGTTTATGTACCGCACCGAAAACGTTGGCTTGACTTCGGTGCTGGGCTCCCGCGGCTTGGTCCGTTTTTTAAGATTGCTGGAAATGCTTCAGTTCAGTAGATATTGTTGGCTCTTTCTCTGTGCTGTCTGTTTGGAAATATCAATTTAAGCTTCACAACTGGAAATAAATAGGAGTGCAATAATAAAGGAAATAGAAAGAAGTGCAATGATAAGGTAAGAGTGTAGGCGCCTTTCTGGTCTGCGCGCGATGGGCCGTAAGTTATCAAATATTTGATAAAAATGATCAAAATTATGTTGTGTACGAAGGCTCAGCGCACCAACAGATAATTCTAGGCACGAATGTGCAGAACTGGGATACCATTCTTGGTTTCTCGTATGTCCGTGATTTGGTGCTTGTTTTGCTCTTTTAGTACATGTTATAAATCGTTTGCTGCCTGCGCGTTAAAAATCACATTACTGGTTTGTTGTGGAAATTATAATGTTGTCAGATGGCAATTTCATGAAGATGATAGGTGCTCATGCGAGCACTGTGAGCAACAATGGTCGAAACGACAAAATGAATAACGGTAATTGCCTGCTCATCATTTTTGGTGCTAAAGATGATGTTTGGGTGGTTGATTTCCAAATTGGGCGATCCAGCCAACGTGAGCTGGTTGTGCCCATTTCGTACTGTGCATAAAACGCTCGCAGTGGATATTTTTCTTCTTCTAAAAAAGGTGAAGTACTTGAAGAATGCCGTTCCCCCCCCCCATCCGATATTTTTGGGAGGGGAAAACCTTCTTTCTCAACCTAATGTCGCTGTAGCTACCCATAGCGTACCAAAACTAAGGTCAATGGGGACGCCGTAATTGAGCTGGAGAGTTATAAATCGGTCTCAAAAGACCCTTTTTACATCAAGAAGCCCTTTTTCTGGATCATGAGGCGACGTTTTTAATAAACTAGCCCATGCTCTGGAAAGGGAGCCCCAAATTTGTTTTAAGGAGGCCTGCGCTGGCTCCTCGAGAGGTTCCCTTTACGAGCTAGACAGCCCCTGCTCTAGGATAGGAGTACACGCCGGGACGTCTGCCTGGCTGATGTAGGGTGCTTCAGTTATCATTTGTGCCATGACAGGAGTCGTCTGTGCCGATCAATACGGATTTGGTCGACTTGTCTTCAGACCTCTGCCTCCCTGTCGACGGACATGTGGCCGAGCTGTCGGAGGTGCCGTCGCCGACAGCTTTTCTTCGAGACTGGTACTCGCAGAACAAGCCCTTCATCGTCCGGGGGGCTATCAAAGACTGGCAGGCCTTCAAACAATGGACACCCAAGTATTTCAGGTAGGCATGGGCCGTTTGGTCGCGTGCTAGCGCTCTGAGGATCCTCCGCTCCACATCGCCACTCGTATCAGCGGTCTGAACGTGCGCCCACCTATGACATGGGTTTAGGTATGCCGAGGGACGCACGGCCGGCCGACGCGACCGGCGTGCTCCACGTCACCACCGGGGTCTGCGCGGCCGCCACCAGGCACCTCAGACCCGCGGCGGAGGGCGGAGGCAGCCCCCACCGAGATGTGCAGCGACGCGGGCGCTCGGATCGGTTCAGGAGACACCCCGCCTCCGGCGCGAGGATGCTGAGGCGGCGGTCCAGCCCAGGCTCCGAACCGGCGGCGATTTTGACGCTGCGAACAGTCAATTGTATGCCAGAGGAAGATGCTGCACGTGTCCCAGCGAATTTTCGAACTTTTTTGGGTGACCATCCTTCTGGTTACCTGTTTGTAGAGCTCTAAGCTGTCGAAAGTGTACCTACGGGATTTCGCATATTCAAATCACAGCTTCCAGCACAGCTTATACAATGTGTGTGACGGATCTCGAGCTCAACATACCATGAATTCACGGTTCTTTCCAGCAGCCCTCGGAATAACCTGGGCTCGCTGTCGTGTACCCTCCGGGTTTCCCCTTCGCATTGTGACCTGTGAGATATGCATTACCTGTTGCATGTAACTAACCCCTGCTAGCAGTTGGGTAGGCATAAATATATATATATATATATATATATATATATATATATATATTTACATGAAATTTCCCCTTTCCATGTACCACCACACTACTCATGTTCAGCCTTCGGGAGGAGAGCCACTACTGCCCCCTCCCCCTGACCCGTTTCTGCTTCCTCGCCTGCACATTCCAACTGCCCGCACTGGTACGCTCGTTCCAGAGAAACTTTTGGCGAGAAGCCGGTGACAGTGGCGGTTACTCCGGACGGTTACGCCGATGCCATTGCCGGGGAGTACCTGGCCCTGCCGGAGGAGCGGAGCATGCCTATGGCACAGTTCCTCGACATTCTGGAGGAGCCCAGCAGGCACAACGGTATGGCTCGAGCGCAGGCTCGCCGTGAACGTGCCATTCATCTGGTTTAATTGAATGAAACGGAAGACGCATGGATGCAATTTGAGCCAGTGGCAACTTATCTATTCAGCCGATGTAGATCCCCGGATATTTAAGGGCGTTGTTGAAGCCCATAGAAGGAGCACACTGGTGTGGGGACGGGTGGAGGCCGACTTGCGTCTTTGTTCACTATTCATTTCCACGTTGTGGGCGGCTTCCCCCTCCCCCCCCCCCTCCCCCAATGAGGTAAATCATCTGTTCATTGATGTGAGCAGACTTCAAAAATGGCGGCCACTTTGGCGTCTTGTCGGTGGGCAGTTGTCATCGATCTGACTGAACGAACCATCCGGATGACTGGGGTTTGCGTATCAGTATAGGAATTGTGGCTTGGAGCTGATAGGCACTTGGGCTGGGGCTGTCAGACGTGGGGTTCGAGCTGTTGTTAGCTTGCTGTTGCTGTTGTACGCACGAGGGCTGGGGCTGTTGTCAGGCACGCCACCGCTAAAATAATCATGGCGTTCTGCGTCATCGCAAATAAAAACTGTGAATTGTAAGCTGCTTTGCTTTCCGGCTCACATTCAAACCTAAAGAAGGTTTATCGTCTGGTTATGTGGCATGGATCATACCGTTGTGTCCAATCATCGACGTAAATTGGCTAATGGTGACTCGAACACACGCCCCAGCTCGCTTTGTTTGGTGTTTCGCAATGTCGTGTTTTCTTCGCATAATTATGTTTATTCTTCAGGCGTGTTCTACATTCAGAAACAGAACTCCAACCTTACCGACGAACTACCGGAGCTTCTGAACGGCGTGCCTAGCGACATCTCGTGGATGTCGGAGGCACTAGACAAGTCGCCGGACGCCGTTAACTTCTGGATGGGCGACGGAAGAGCTGTGACGTCACGTGGGTTCCTATCTCTTACGTAGACTGAGAGATCATTATCCTCGTGATGGCCGATATTTGAGGATTGGCTGTCTTTGTATGCCCGGTATGGGTGCATCTAGCGCTGGCAGTCAAGATGCCTCATTAATCATATGTGTTAATGAACAGCAATTAGATGAAGCTTCCTCGGAACATAACTCAACGATGAGGTTTATTGGCGTCAGTTTTTCCGATCTGACACCGATCTCCCTCTACGGCACATTGCACATGCTAAATAATTCATCAACCGATTTGTTGTATGTGAATGAACACTCGTCCTGACACCAGCCTGATGTGACTGCACCTGTACATAAACACTGCACCTCTATATCGACGCTGCGCCCGTGTTGCGACTGCCGCGCATCGCACTACCGTTCCGTTGCAGTGCACAAGGACCACTACGAGAACATCTACTGCGTGGTGCGCGGCCACAAAGACGTGACGCTGCTGCCGCCGGCGGCGCGGCCGCGCCTGCCGCACCGGCTCTGCCGGCCGGCCACCTACCGCGAGACGGACGGCCAGTTCCGCCTGGAGCCGGCGCCGGACGGCGCGGCCGTGCCCTGGGCCGACTGGGACCCGCTGCAGCCGGCGGCCGGCCCGCCGCGGCCGCTGCACTGCCGGCTGCGCGCCGGCGACCTGCTGTACCTGCCGTCGCTGTGGTTCCACCACCTGCGGCAGTCGCACGGCTGCGTGGCCGTCAACTACTGGTACGACATGGAGTTCGACGTCAAGTTCTGCTACTACAAGCTGCTGGAGGGGCTCAGTGAGGCGAGGTGACGGCCTCTGTCCCCGGCAGGGTCGGCGGCGAGGAGTGCCACGCCCATGGCTGAGGCTGGGGTCCGGCCCTGAGGACCGAGTGGAACAGGTTCGGTGAGGACAGGTGACGGTCTCTGTCCACGGCGGGGTCGGCGGCGAGGAATGTCGCGTCCGTGGCTGAGGCCTAGTCCGGCGCTGATGACTGAGTGGAGCAGACCAAATGGCTGCCATGGCTGTGACTCTTGCTGCTTGGATTCGGCGATATTGTCACTGCGGTTCCTTATACGAAAACGCTCCGCGGGGCGGCTTCGAGTGCTCGTTGTGTTGCTATGAAGTGCTTTTGATCTGCGATGCCTTGCGGAGTGCGCGTGGTGTCAATGCAAATAAATAGCGTGGTGTTTTTCAACCGAACCACGTGCGTCGTCAACGATGATACTGAACCGAAATGTCAAGTATCGTGCACTTCCAGAAGGAAACTTATGTCTTATTTATCCGATATGCTGCGATTCATTACGCAAGAGGCCTTGACCTGCTCGTCCACGACAGCCCACGGGATACTCATAGGAGGCAAGTTTAGGGTAAAAAAGGGGGTTGTCAGTTGGAGTGGCCATCGCAGATTGAACACCGCCTGCCGCTAGATCCTATAAAGGAGAGTGGGGAGGCAAAACAGCATATATAATCGTCACGCAAAATGCCCTCGAAAGGGTTTACGCACAACTTCAGAGCTTTCTGACATCAAATGAAATCTGCATGTGGTGCTCTTATTTTGCGCTTACTGCTGTCGCTATGAAAAAACCTATGATATGCGATGTACCCTGCGGGTACATCGCATATCGCAGTGATTTCTTCAATGACTGGTCTGCGGTGTGCAAAACTGCTCTCTCCTTGCCTTCACTGCCTCTTTAATTCTGTTGCTGAACAAACGAAATTTGATTTTGTCACATATCGGACATTCCTGACTGCTTCCATAGACCAGGTGGCCTGACCTAACCCACGAATGTGAACTTACCGACAGCACCGGTTCATTGCCGTGTAGACTTACTCATCCTAATGAGCTGTCTTCATGCATAGTTTCGTGCCATGTCCATTGCTAGAAGCACTCTCGAATACTAAACGTCATCATGCGCTACCAAATATTTATTAAAATGTACATGCCGACTGAACGACGGCGTGTCAGCTGGTGTGATCACCAGCGAAGCCACTGGTCGAGCGATTCTTAAGTCATCAGGCCGGAAAGAGCATGCCTTCAGTTGCCGTGCTCAGTCAGTGCCATTTTTGACAGGGTTTGACATCTTTGCGACCACCAATTGTACCGCCAAAATATTGTCAGGAACAAGTAGCTCGGTTATTTCAAGGTGAAACCGCGATGTTTTTTAACACCCCACTGCAGATTCCTCATTTAGTAGGCGTGCTTCAGCAACAGTTCAATGGCATTACTGTTTCAACCCCGCATTCGTATAATTAACATGGAAAACGTATAATTTTCAAATCGCCAAAAACCTGAGGAACACCGGCCGAAAACAGGTCCGAATCTCAGTGACCAGGCATCGCAACAAGACGAGATTAACGTACTAACGCAGTAGGAAACGGGTAATCGCACCCGTAAAAGTATTGGCCAAGCTCAAGGCGTGCAGACCCTCACGCGGAATCCTGCGCAAATTTGGGCTCGCCCGAGGTCTCGACTATTAGGGCAGGTAGAGATGTGATACCAGCCGTGCGACGCACACGAACGTGCCGTCTACAAATCATGAAACAGTGTCATATCTACCTGACCCGTAGGCGCGCCGGCAATAGCCCACGAAGCTAACAATGACACGTTGTCTTAAACAGGCTTCAGCCACATGCCGTGGGCTAGAGAAAGACAGATTGGGTCATGCGAGGTATATTGGGGCTTCAGTCCACTTTATTATGACCATATTAACTCAAGATGCTAAAGTTTTTTCCAACAAGTAGTCCCGCCGTAGCCACCACGAACGCGCACTATTCAATGGCTTCACCTCATCGACTGAAATTGTATGGCCCTGACAGGCCTAAAGTCAGCCAATATTCCACCACATCTAGCACGTGGCCACTGAACACTACTACACCTCCACCTGCCACACTCAAAAATAGGGCGTTCTTATGAATTTCTAGCTCTCCTATCCACATGCCTGCTAGGCCAATGCATCACGTACACATTAGTCTAGCTGGCATGTTGCTGACAAGAGCTTTCTGACGAATGATTTGTCGGAAACATTCTGGCTCTTCAAGTGGATTGCTGGGAAGATATGCGCCTAAATATATGGTATTGCGTAACAAAAAACTCAAACTCACTTATCTAGGTCGAATATGTATTTATCGCGCACTTGTTATCTGCTATGTATGTGTGGAAATACACCACACTTGCTGGAGGAGAAATGGCAAACAAAAGTGACGTACACAATAAGCACAAATGCAAACTACAGTTAGGCAGAGTGACGCCTGTAAAAGTTACGCGCATGCGCGATATTCACTTGCAAAAATATTGATATGCCGAGAGTGATGGGTCGGGCTGTATTGCTAAATCACAAATCATGGCTTGGATGAAGCATGGCCGACATCATCCTGCCGTGAGGTAAAGCGTTTCGTTTCCAAAATTGCGATGATTTCACGTACGGGCTTCCAAAAAGCGGTTTCGTAAGCTGCCAATACAGCAAGCAATATAGACAGCCTTGAATGGTTTAAAGACAAGACAGATACAGAAGAGTTTGTATAATTCCAATGTCGTGACGACACGATCTATCAGCGTCGTTACAACCTATACCAATTGAGGTCAGCAATGCGGCTTATATCGAGCGATCCGACGGCGTGTGCAGACCTCAAGTCATCGGAGAATGCTGGGATACGTCGGGATTCAGTTGAGCCAGATACATTTTGAACCGCAGCTAACGAAAACTGAATATTTCTTTTAGTGCCTGATCCTCCTGAAGGTCAACATAAGTAATGATTGCGTGCAGTTTGACAATGGCTCAATGGGTACATCGATTCACGACATCCAAGGGAGGTGCCTCATTCTTATTATTTCGAGGGAGGTGTATGAAACCATTGTGAGTGCGGCTGCATTTGTCACCTGGCTCAAATATAAGGCAAACGCAAATATAATAACACCTGATATAATCCGTCATAAGTCCACTATAAAACCAGATCGCCTATCAAAGCAATCACCTATGCAGTGCACAACCAGCTTGAAGAAGGAGCCGTCCATGATGCGTGCAGCTGATTGGCTGTAGCTGAGGTCGTCTAAGAGCGCCGCGATAGGAAATGCGCACCGCACGGCCGTACAAAAACGATGTCGCTCGCTCGATTGAAGTTTTCGAACGCATGCCGTCCACACCGCCGGCGCAAGTCGCCAGCACCTCCTCAGTCTGCGAGGAGGAAGCGTGGCCTACAATAAAGAGATTGTCTTGCCTCCTCGGCAGATTACGTCTCATTATACCTCTTCCAGTCCACTGCGAGGACATCGCTGTTCCCCGACGCACATGCGCCACAGCGTGTCACCCTCTGACGTGGCTGCGTCAAGGTTTGCCGTCTTCTGCGCGCGCCAGGCGAACTACCGTCCTCCATGGCCAGTATGACGTCACCACGCTCCCACACTGAGCTCGCGCCACCGCTACAGCTTCTCGTCCTCCCACGGCACGATGGCGTTGATGTTGCGGATACGGACGCGGTCGCGGTCGAAGACGGCCGTGCGGGGCCGCGACAGCCGGTGCCGCTGGGCCGACTCGGCCTCCGGCGGCGGCGCCACCGCGCCCTGCGCCCACCTCACGTCGTCCCCCTGCACGGTGATCGCTGGCGGTGGCGGCTGCGGCGACGGCGCGGCGTCTCCCTCCGCCGGCGGCGGCGGCGGCCGCAGCACGAGCTCCGCGACGGCCGGCGCCGGCGGCGGCGGCACCGACAGGCTGGGCGGCGCGCGGTTGAGCGCGGCGGCCAGCTCTGGCCGCAGCGGCGCCGGAGGCAGCTCCTCCACCAGCGCCGGTCGACAGTCGCCCGCCGGCCGGCCCGGCGGCCCGATCGGCGGCAGCCGCAGCCCACCGCCGGCCTGCTGCCGCTCGGAGCGCAGCTGCCGGTAACTCTCCAGCACCTGACCCTCGAACGGGTCGAGCGGCACGGCCAGGCGGTCGCGCGTCGGCGCCAGCGTCGCGGCGCGCGCGAACAGCGCCGGCAGCTCGTCGTCGGAACTTAGGTCGGGCGCGAACGCCACGTTCTCGTGGCCGCCGCCGGGGGCGAACACGGCGCTCGTGACCTGGCCGGCGTCGACGCCGAGCAGTGCGTGCGCCGCCAGGCCAGTGCCATTCCGGGCGGCGGCGGGCGCCAGGCCTGGCGCCGGACCTGGCGCCGGGCCGGGCGCGGGACCGGGCGCGACGCCCGGCATCAGGGGCCGGGCCAGCGCCAGCTGGTCCAGCGCCGAGGTCAGCGCGCCGTTGAAGGGCGCCGCCTCGCCGGTCAGCGCGCGCAGCACGTTGGCATCGCTGGAGGTGACTCCGGACCGCGCCGACGGCCCGGCCTTGCGACCCTTGGCGCTGTCGGGGAGACCGTACTGTCATGCGCGGAAGTCCTCACGCGTCTCACACACCCTACGAAATGTCGTTGTTGGGTGATCCGCGATGCGTCCCTCAAGATGACAACCGTTATTTAACCCGATAATGAACGCACCCCGTTGCATCCACTGTTCCGTATACCAAGCCGTGACGGCTCACATCGTGCGGCAAACCTGCAATAACTACCTTTCACGACCCGCATGTGAACTAGCATTTGTCGCGCATGATCCCCGCATGGTCATACATGAACATCACGAGCTCACCATCGCTCCAGCTAACTACCTAGCTCCGCCGCTGCGACCGCCACGCGCTCTACGGAGGCTGCACGGCCTACCTTTTGATGGGCGTGGTGTGGACGGACTCGAGTCCCCACATCTCCTTGCGCAGCGCATCGCCCGTGATCCGCCGCCGCTTCAGCGCCTTCAGAGTGACGCGGCCGACCCTCTGCCACAGCCGCAGCGGTAG